GTGGGGGGGACGCGGGGCCGGGGCTCACGCGGGTGCCAGATGCATCCCCAGCAGCATCTTCAGGATGGGGAGCTCTGCCATGGCCGAGGCAGAGGAGGCAACGGGCATTCCCTGATCCCTTCCTCAAATGTCAGGTCACAGAATCACAGAATGGTCGGGGTTGGAAGGGACCTCTGTGGGTCATCTAGTCCAACCCTCCTGCCGAAGCAGGGTCACCTACAGTAGGCTGTAGCGGACCTTGTCCAGGCTGGTCCTGAACATCTCCAGAGAAGGAGACTCCACAACCTCCCTGGGCAGCCTGTTCCAGTGCTCCGTCACCCTCAGAGGGAAGAAGTTCTTCCTCATGTTCAGACGGAACTTCCTGTGCCTCAGTTTGTGCCCATTGCCCCTTGAAATGGACCAGGTCCATGGTCTCTGCTACCTCCTTGGTGCAAGCCTGGGCTGTATTGACTGTCCTCCAACCCAGAGCTTGCTGAGACTCTGCAGACAGACTCCTTGGACCTACCCCAGCATTACTGGGAGCCCTCCAAGGTGCCTCCACCCCCTGCTTCTGGGATCCCTGGTCCAGGCTGGGGACAGTCACCAACCAGCCACTGTTTCTCTGGTTGTTGCAGGTCCTCGATCACCTCGAGGACCACCTGAAGAGATCCCAATACTTCCGATTCCTGTGGTTCCCTCACAGCGAGAACGTCAGCGTCATCTACCAGGATCCCACCAACAAGGCAGGTCCCACTGGGCTCCACGGGGGAAGAGAGAAGGGCCCATACACCAAACTGGGTGTCCTCCCACAGCCAGTGTTTTAGGATGGGCTTGCAGTTCCAGGATCGGCTGAACAGGGAAACAGCATTTTGGGGCTGGGCTGGACTCTGTCCATACTCCATGGCCTGGGGGTCCCGGGACGTGGATGCAGCTGGGGCTGTCCAAGCTCTCAGCATCCTCATGACAAATCCTGGTCTCCTCTTGGGACTGGATTTGGCCCTGTTTCATCACAGGAGAGAGATCTGTGGACCCAGACCCCCCGCTCCCAGCTTGGTCCTGGTCCAGTCATGATCTCACACCTTCATTCTTGCTGGCAAGAAAGCTGCAAACTCTGCTAGTCCCTAACGACCATCATCTTCCTCTGTTTGACTTTGCAGCCCGCCTCTTCCTCTGCCAGCTGGTGGTGGGATTATGCTGTTGGCTATTATTTGCTGGAGTTTCTGCTCTGGATCAGGTAGGAGCACGCTCTGGGCAGTGGCGGGGGACAGGTGGGGTTGGGGAGGTCTGCTCAGGTCTGGCCTCATCTGGCTCTACTGCATCTCTACATTGAAACCTGTGCCGGGAGTCCCAGGGAAGATGGCAGGGGAGGACCCCGATGCCCATCCCTGGGGAAGAAGGAGGCGCTTGTTCTCCTCCGAGCAAGCTCCTGTGCAGGAGGAGCGGGTTTGGGCTGGGATTGATGTCTGGGCTTGCACTGCCCTCTCGTGTGCACAGAGATGGAGCAGCGTGCCCAGGCAGTGTGGGTTTGCAGCAGCAAAAGAGCCTTTTGGAGGATGGTGGTGGCTGTGAACCTGTCCTGAGCACCAGGGTGGAGAGAGGAGGTCCAGCCAGGTCGTGGAGCCTGGGCTGGGAAGTAGGACCCTGGTGGCACAGGAGAGCCGGGCTGGACTCCCGGTCTGCTCAGGTCTGGCCTCATCTGGCTCTACTGCATCTCCACATTGAAACCTGTGCTGGGAGTCCCAGGGAAGATGGCAGGGGAGGACCCCGATGCCCATCCCTGGGGAAGAAGGAGGCGCTTGTTCTCCTCCGAGCAAGCTCCTGTGCAGGAGGAGCGGGTTTGGGCTGGGATTGATGTCTGGGCTTGCACTGCCCTCTCGTGTGCACAGAGATGGAGCAGCGTGCCCAGGCAGTGTGGGTTTGCAGCAGCAAAAGAGCCTTTTGGAGGATGGTGGTGGCTGTGAACCTGTCCTGAGCACCAGGGTGGAGAGAGGAGGTCCAGCCAGGTCGTGGAGCCTGGGCTGGGAAGTAGGACCCTGGTGGCACAGGAGAGCCGGGCTGGACTCCCTGAAGAGGGAGAAGAGGGACTGTGACCACTTAGGACTCTGCCAAGGGGTCCACCCTGCCACTCCACCCTGTCCCCAGTAGCTCTTGGTGTGAGGATGCCCAGTGTGCAGGCTGGGAGGCAGAGATCTTGAAGGGGAGCGAAGGTGATGAGCGAGCACCCCTTTTCTAGCTTGCAGCAAGGGGAGGAGGACAGAGCTGAGGGCAAGGGTGGAGGTCCAAGATCGGGCGGGGTGACCACAGGCGAGCTCCTGGCAAGGCTGCAGGTCCCTGTGGACTCCAGCACCCTGGGTGGAGGTGGGGGGTGGTGCAGCTTTGATTCTTTGCTTACAGCCCCTTGAGAGAGCATCCTCCTGTCCTGCATCCTCAGGCTGTGGCTTGCGGCATCACAGCTCACTGCCCACCCTTGGCAAATCCCTAGCTGGCTGCTCCGGGGTCAGATCTCACCTCCTGCTCTCTCCCCTGCAGCACCTTCGTGCCCGGCTTGGTGTGCTGGATCAACCGCTTCTTCTTCTGGCTCCTCTTCAGCTCCCGGGTGGAGAATATTGCCATCAGCTACAAGATCTTCAACTACGAGTGTCGCTTCAAGCAGCACGTTCAAGACTGGGCCATCCCCATGTAAATGCCTCTGCAGACCCTCCCTGTCCATCCCAAACCACAGGCCATGGTCTGCCAGAGCTCTGACCCAGCCCAGGCTGCCTGGAGCAGGAGCAAAGCCATGGAGACAGGGACCTGGCTAGGAGACACCATTCCTAACTGCAAGCTCAGCCTTCTGCATCCCTGTCCTGGGGTACCAAACCCACACCACACCATATCTTGGGGCTTTGTGAGCCTGAAGCGTTGGGAGGGCTGTGCTGCGACATGCCAAGCCATTCCCTGACCTAGCATGGGGCCAGGGATGGAGCTCTGGGGATGGGGGTTCAAACCTGAAGGGAGCTGGCTGTGCCCATGCCAGCATTAACCAGGGCTGGGTGCTTCTCTCGGGCAGTGAGAAGACGAAGGAAGCCTTGCTGGAGCTGAAGGCTGCCTTGGAGAACAACCCTAAGATGGTGGCTCACTACCCCGTGGAGGTGCGCTTCGCTCGGGGGGACGAGATCTGGCTGAGTCCCTGCTTCCAGCGAGACAGCTGCTACATGAACATCATCATGTACAGGTGAGCCATGGCCCCTGTCCCACTCCTCTCCTCCTCCTCCTCCTCCCTGGGTTAGCGTGCTGGTGCACTGGGAGCCTTGCCCAGAGACCTGGCAGCAGCAAATGCACAGCTCAGACAGGGACCGGGGAGCTGGATCAAATGATCTCCTACACCTTTGCCAACTCACCCCACCCAGAGGTTTGCAGGCACCGAGCCAGAAGGCACGGTGTGACCTTGAAGCACCCTAGAGCCACCCACCCTTGTTTTTTGAGGATGTTGTCGTACGTGAGGATCCACTGGCCAAGTGCTGGTGGCGTGCTGGTTCCCAGAGGGTTTCCATCACCCGGTGCTGGTCAAAGAGTCCACGATGGGCCCCTGGGGTTGTCCTTGTCCCCACGTGGGAGTTTCTCAGGGAGGTTTCCTGGGTGTGCAAATCCCCCCACACAGCCCCTGCTAATGCTCTCCCTGACTGATTTCCCCCAGGCCCTACGGGAAGAACGTCCCCCGCCTCAACTACTGGCTGACCTACGAGGGCATCATGAAGAAGCATGGTGGGAGACCACACTGGGCAAAGGTACTGACGGCCCCGCTCCTCTGGTCCTTCCAGGGTGTTCTACCCCTTCTCTATGGTGGCTCCTTTTGGAAGGTGGGGTTTGCAGTGGAGAAGGGGTCAGAGGAGGGCCCCCACATCAGGCTCCATCCCCGAGGGAGGTGGGTGCCTCAAGGAGATGCAATTCCCCTGTTTGCTCCCCACCCTGGGCACGTAAATACGGGGATGGAGGTCCCACCACTTCTGCAGGGGGTTCCCTCAGCACATGGTGGTGGGAGTCCAGGGCCAGCGACATGTTCCTCACTGATGGACATCCCCCTGGACAATTTCTCTCCTGCAGGCCCACAGCTGCACCCGAAAGGACTTTGAGAAGATGTACCCAGCCTTCCCCAAATTCTGTGCTGTTCGGGAGAAGCTGGACCCCACGGGGATGTTCCTGAACGCCTACCTGGAAAAGGTGTTTTACTGATGGGGGCAACGTGGGGGATGAAGGAAAAATCAGCCATCACCCCCAGTTCTCGGGACACCCCAAAGATCATGGTCCTTCATGGTGCCAAGGTGCTGCACCCCCAGCTTTGCCCTCATCCGTTGTGACAGCAGGCAGCAAGGGCTGGCCCACAAGCAGGGGCGTGCTTTGATCTCGATGCTAACAAGGCTCTGCGGCACCTGGAGATCTCTCCTGGAAACCAGCAGTTGTGGGTGCCATGCCCCTGTGCCTCCAAGACCTGTACAGCCCCAAGTGCCTGCTGTCCAAGCCAACACCTCAATAAAGACCTTTCTTCGAGGAGACCTTGTCTGAGCCTGTGCTTTCAGCCTGGGTGTGTGTCCAATAGAGGTGTCCAGCCTGGGGACCAGGGAAGGGGCTCACTGTCCCTGTACAGCCCCACTGTGGGGGTCAGGGCTGGTGTCACCCAGGTCCTCGAGTTCAGGCCATCTCCCCTCGCAGAAGCACGCAGGCAAGAGTTTGGGAGGAGGCGGCTGCCTGCCAGGTCCACCCCAGCCTGGCTTCTGTTGGTGTTTTAGCCTGGAGAAGAGAAGGCTGAGAGGGGACCTTCGAAATGCCTCTAAATATCTGCAGGGTGGGGGTCAGGAGGATGGGGCCAGACTCTTTCCAGTGGTGCCCAGCGACAGGACAAGGGGCAACGGGCACAAACTGAAGCACTGGCCGCGGTGCTGTGCCCCCTGCTCTGGGTGACCCTACTTCGGCAGCGGGTTGGGCTGGGGGATCCCCAGAGGTCCCTTCCAACCCCTGCCATGCTGTGAGTCTTTATAAGGGAAGCCATGCACGGGCAGATGGGCAATGGCCTCTCCCAGGCTGGACCACAGCTGCCCCACACTGCCAAAACCTGCAGGAGATGCTCCTCAGGATCCAGTTTAGGGGAGGCCCATGCTCCTGTCCCTCCTCTCCTAGGGAACCCTGCTAGAACAACCTGAACTGTGCTGGCCCAAGCCACACTTGCATCTCCAAGCGATGGGGACGTGGCTTTCTTGAGAGGAGATGAAGGATTCCCCAGGACGGCCAGGACAGATGGCCAGCAGGTTGATGACGCTTTTAGATAGACACCGTCAAAGCACCATGCAGCCCCCTCGTCCCTCGTGTAGGAAGCGAGTGCAAGATTTTACGGAACAGGAGTGTGACACTTCTCCCCAAAACTTGTGAGAACAGTTGGCCTGACCCCCTCCCACTCACTCCTGCCATCGTTTACCCATGTCTCCCCTCCCCACAGCTTCACAAGCACCATGGCCTGGGTGTTTGCTGGCAAGGCCAGGATTGTTGGTGTGCGAGACAGAGGATGAGGGACACCAGCAACGATGTGCCTGGGGTTGCTCTTAATGGATGATGACAACCCGTTTATGGGCAGATGTCCTTTGACTTCTGGCACCAGGGTGGTTATGCCGCAGCTGGTGCATCTTACTGGGCTCAGAGTCACTCAGAGCAAGATGCTGGAGTCACGTCCAAGGTCCGCTAACAAACCTGATGTCCTGGCCACGTCACAGCAAACAAGTTGAGGAAGGTGGGAGGAAGGCTACAGCGATCACCCAGGTGTCACTGCTGATCCCCAGGAGCATCAGGGATGAGTCAGCAAGGAGAAGCGAGAAAAAGTGCGTCATCTCCAGTAAATAAAATAGGCGTGGTGGCTTTTCGAGGTGACTGGTCTGGGGGTTTCCCCCAGAAGATACCCATTCGCTGAGGTTTTACCTGCCCTCCAGCCCTTGGAGCCAGGTGGGGCATAAAAGCAGCGGAATTCTTATTTCCAGCCCTCGAACGTAGGCAAGATCTTGAAAACGCAACCTGAGAGCCACCTACAGAGGAAGGCCAGTTGTTTTTTTTGGAAAAGCTAGTTAAAAGCAGTGAAAAGGAAGCGAGTGAAGATTGGAAGGCGTGAGCTGGCCAGCTTCCCGGGGGGAGGGTTGTACGCGGCCGCAGGTTTTTCTTCTGTTTCATTTCTGCTGTGCAAGAGGAGTCGCCGATGCTGAAGCGAACAGGTCGTATAAACTTACATAAATCTCAGTTTCTTTCGCAGCGGAATTCTTCTGTGGTGATTCTTCTTCTTCCTTGATACTTGAATGATGGTATTTTGTCTAAATAGCACGCTCTCTGGTTTTAGCCTGATTAATGAATTAACACTGTACTTACTGATAGTAACTTTTGGGAAGATTTCTTGCTAAGGAAAAGGTTTAAGTGTCTCAGCACCTTTGTTGCAAGATGTTGGACTTGGTTTTCTTAGAGAAACTCTAGTCTGATTAAATCCAAGAAGCTCTTTGAACTCTTGGAAAATCAAACGGACATCGTTGTCTCAGATCTCCTGCTTTCCACCAAGGCTGTGCTGCAGCGAGCGCCTGGTTTGCTGGGGTAACAGGGGGATGTTTTTTTATATTCAAATTCTTTCGCGATTTTCTCTTTGTAATCATTTCCCTGGAGTTTCCACAGGTTCTACGGGAAGAATTCTAGGTGAAAAAATGCCAAGGAAAATCACCAAAAAAAAATTTGCGTGGTATCAAATAGTAAATATCATCTTAGTAGCCGCCATTTTTCCTTTTTTATAAATACTCCGGGTTTATAGTGATAATCATTGAGTGTCGCTAGGACTACTGCGATTAGCAGCACGCGTAAGGGTAGCGGTGTATCCGGGATGTGACAATGACATCTTGCCATATGTAGTCGTAAGGAAGTTCATTTCAAAGTGAGTTTGACATCTGCTGTTGAGCCTGTCTTGTCAGCCTCCGCGTCTCTAGCAGATCTCGGTCTTCTCCAGCTCCTGCTGATTACATCCCGCTCCCACCAGTGGAGCTGACTCAGTTCCTAAGGACACTTCCAGGTTAAGCCAAGGTGTCCTGCGAAGAAGCCAGAAACATAAAACTTCATAAAAATCCTTCTGTGATCCCGGAGGAGGTAGCGCTGATGTCCTTCTCGTGTCCAGGTGGTGAAAAGGGTGACTGACACTATTCTTTCCCATTCAGCCGGATTTTGCAATCGTTTCTCCTCCCGGAGCCTCCCCTTTCTGATCTGCGTACAGCCCGGTTTCCAGTAAACCATTGCACCGTGCCACCCACTGAAGGTCACGCCTGGTTTGCTGTTAGGATGCTAGGACAAAGACCTGGGAAGCGAGGTGAGCTCAAGGGCATCCTGTTCTCTGTCCCCTCACGCGTCACTGGGAGGGGATCCTGTGATTCTGCACCCTTCAGAACCTTGTGGTTCATGAGGGAGGGTATCATCGCCCTGCCAGCTCCACTTTGGTCGGTGGTCATCCCACCCCTCGGAAGGAGCTGAGCTATGGTGTCCACCCGGCAGAAAGCCGTGTCTTCTGCGCTCGCCGGGATGGATGCGGCAACCCAGGCAGAGCTCCCACGGAACCATGCATCCAGCCAGGGCTTGGGCTGCCGGGCGTGCCAGAGCCGTTCGCCGGTAACGGTGCCCGTAGTGAGTGGAGATGTGCGAGGTGTGGCCAGGCCAAAGATCTTCTCAGCTTGCCTGCAGAGCTGCAGGGGAAGATGGAGAGGTTAAGGAGCAGCAGCGAATCTGAGAAACAAATCACAGAATCATCAAATCACAGAATGGTTTGGGTGGGAAGGAGTCTTTAAAGGACATCTAGCCCAACTCCCTGCCATGAGCAGGGACATCTTCAATCAGATCAGGGTGCTCAGAGCCCCTTCCAACCTGGCCTGGAATGGTTCCAGGGATGGGGCATCTCCCACCTCTCTGGGCAACCTGGGGAGAGACGGGGATTGGGGGAGCAAAGTCCCTCCGCCTGTAAGAGAAGATCAGGTTTGTGATCACCTGAGGAACCTGAACATACCTAAGTCTACAGGGCCTGACGAGATGCATTCCAGAGTCCTGAGGGAATTCCCTGATGTCGTTGCCAAGCCACTCTCCAGGATATCTGAAAGGTCATGGCAGTCAGGCGAAGTCCCCAGTGACTGTAGGAAGGGAAACACTGCGCCCATCTTTAGAAAGGGCAGAAAGGAGGACCCTGGGAACTACTGACCTGTCAGCCTCACCTCTGTGCCTGGAAGATCATGGAGCAGATCCTCCTAGGAGCTCTGCTAAGGCACAGGGGGGACTATGAGGTGATTCGAGACAGTCAGCATGGCTTCACCAAGGGCAAGCCCTACATCACCAACCTGGTGGCCTTCTGTGACAGAGTGACTGCATCAGTGGACAGGGGAAGAGCTGTCAGCATGACTCCCTTTCATCTGAAAAGGTGGCGATGATGATTTACCGAGTGGGACTTGCCAGAGAAACCCAATCCACTGGTCTGACTCCTGTAGCTGGCCCCAAACTCACACAGGTCTCACCAGTAAGCGACACCAGGTCCTTGCAGCATGTGCGGCATGGAGGATGAGATTTAGGGCTTGGGCTGTGAAGGCATCTTCTGTGGGTGGCATAAAAGGGGATTTTAACATAAGCTGAGGCCAAAAAAGGGAGGGTTTGAGTCTCTCATGTAGCTTCCTGTGCAAAATAAGAAGTAGGCGGTTCAGACTAGGTGAGATTAATCCCCTCTCTGAGCTCACACATTTCAGTCTTGAGGGCTTTCGTTTCCAACAGGAACAGCTGCCAGGCAAGGGCGTTGGTTAACTAGGTGTTTTCCCAGGGCTGTCAGAAATGGTCTTCGGCTGGAAAAGCCTCTAGAGAGAACTAGAGAAGCGCTGCGCTAATAAGAAATTCCCTTTCATCTGAAAAGGTGGCAGTGATGATTTACCGAGTGGGACTTGCCAGAAAAAAGTGTGCAAGAGAGACCAAAACCCTGAAGACATGGAGGAAGAGGCGCTGAAGGATTGTGAGTGTGGAAAAGCCGTGGTGCCCGCTGACCCTGAGGAGATGCCCAGCTTGGGAGATGCCTCTCTAAGAGAGGGCTGCAGACGCAGCTCTGACCCGGTAACCGTGTCCTCCCTCTAGATAAAAAGATGCAAGATGACCTAAACCACGTTCTAGATGAGTCTACGAGGAAGTTGTCGGAATCCATCTCTGAACACAGCCTGTCTGAGAAAAGAAAGGGAATCGAATATCTCAAGTGAGTTGTCAGATGTTTTTTTGCCCAAAGGCTACCTTTTGATTCTGCTGTGAAAAGGGCTGATCCAGTGTTTCTGCCACATGGGAAGGCTTTGAAGCCATTTCAGTTAAGGTTTTCAGTGGGTGAGACCAGTGTAGCACTCCTTGGCAGCCCAGGAGTTGCCCAGGAGGCAACTATGGCCATCCAAGCATGCCATCAATGTCACTCTCCTCCCTGGGCCCAACGAGAGACTTCTTGTCTGCGTACAGGATATGGGCGCAGGTTGTCCTGGCTTTGCAGAGCTCCCTGGAAATCCTCTCCAAGTGAAGGGAACACCTTTTCCTGGTGGGATGAAATGCCGATTAGAAGGAGACAATTCATACATCACTGTGATGAGGCTGAAGCTGATATGGTGTCCAGTGTGTCACTGGGAATCTGTCCTTGAACTGGACACAGAGGATATTCAAGATCCCACAAGTTCCCATTCAAAGCCTCTTCTGTATGGCACAGAATTTTATTCCACCCTTTTGAAATGTGCAAACCTACCTCCATCATTTAAATTGTCCTTCTTTTTCTCTCTCTCCACCTTCAGGAACCGCCTTACAGGCTTGAAGCCAGAGGTTTTGCTGGATCCCATTTACATCGGTCTCTTTGGCAGCACCGGGGCAGGGAAAAGCACTTTGCTGAATACCATCATAGATAAAAACTACTTCTTGCCGGTGTCTGGGAACAAAGCCTGCACGTCCTGCGTGGTGCAGGTCAACACAAGCCACAGCAAACAGCACGAGGCAAAAATTCACCTTCTCACAGATGAGGCAGGAATAATATTTCTATTTTTGACCTTGAAAGGAAAGGAGACTGAGTCTCAGCAGGCTTCTCCAGATGGAAATGTATCCTTCTGGAAGGGGTGTGGGGCAGGGGAGGATGGAACCCCGATGGCCAAAGCATCCCTGGAGAAGTGATGGACACTGGCACTGGTTCCCACTGGTTTAGGTGTGCAAGGAGGGAAGAAGAAACGCAACTTCTTCCTTGCTCTCCTGTCCTGGAGGCACAAGACCCCTCAGCTGTGCCTGTGTGCTGGCTGACCCAGGGCAATCTTGCTCAGGCCATGTCCTTCCCCTCCCTCTTCCAGGCACCCAAGCCATTACCTCTTCCATGCCTCTGCTCTGTCTTGACAGGAGTGGAAGGACGAGCTGAAGGATCTGGTGGCCCTCGCAAGCCCGGATGAAGATGAAGACAGCACTGAAAGAAAAGAGGCTTTGTTGAAGATCTGTACTATCTATGGGACAAAAGCTGAAAGTAAGACTTATGAAGAACTGTGTAGGATGAAACCCATTGTCCAAATTCCAAATTCAAGGTGTATCACCCTCAGGGAAACGAAAGTGAGTAGCTCATGTATTTCTTGGCCGATATGACCACTCATCTTGTGTCCTTGCAAAATATAGCGAAGGATCTTCACCCATTTGCTGCTGTCTCACCCCAATAAGTAAGGACAATCTTCAGAGCTGGCCCATCTCTCTGGGGAGAACATGCAGACTTGAGGGACGGTTTCCTCTCCAGATCTTGTTAAATTGAACTTCTCCACTGTCGCTGAGTGGGAAAGCAGTAGTGTCCGGCAGATTCCTGAGGGAAAGGCTGAACCCTGGCACCTTGGGGTCCTGGGAGTCTCCTGTTGCTCGCTGGGGGTGGGAGGTGACATCTTTTCCCGATCTTTCTTTGCTGGGTTCATCGTGTTGGGAAGGGTGTGATCCTCTTGGGTTGTCCCACCAGTGGTGACACTGGGAAGTCATTTGCCCTCTTCATACCGTGGTGTCCCCACTAAGGCGTGGGGCTTTGAGTGGTCACAACCGGCTGTGGCAGACCATCATGGTTTTCTGGTATCTCTGATGTTCTCTGCTGAGGAGGGGTATACTTCTTTATTCATCCACTGTGTTCCAGGGAGAAGACCTTTCTGAAAAAATGAGCCCATATATCAGGATTCAGAGCATTCATAGTGGTGCAAGAGCAGAAACAAGTAATGAAGACCAAAGAACAAGGCTCTGGCCCCTAGTCAAAAATGTGGAAGTGACTATCCCAAGTTTGCAAGTCCTTCCTGCAGGTGTCGTCTTTGTGGATATTCCAGGGATGGGCGATTTCAATAGCAAAAGGGATGCGATGTGGAAAAAGGTGACTGGCATAGGTCTGCCGTGGGGAGGATGGGGATGCTTGCTAAGTGTCTGGCAGTGCTGCGGGTTCTCCTGCTCCACAAGTGATGCAGATGTCTGGGATCCTCAGCAGGGCTGTGGGGAACAGGGAAACCTTTTAGCAGAAAGACCAGGTTAATATTCCAGTGCTGCATACCTGAGCTTTTGTTATTTATCTTTTTTCCTTCCTGATGTCAGGCTACTACCAAAACACCCTACTAGGGCGAGCACTGGCGTCCAGTCCAAACACCCCTCTGTGGCAGTCCTGAGTTGCAGGAATTCACGGCTGAGGTCTCTGGTTAGAAATATATCTGCAAATATTGCATATCCTCTTTCTTCAGCCAAAGTTAATGGTAATTAAATTAATTTAGGGACAGGATGCCATCCAGAGGGACCTGGACAAGCTTGGGAAGTGGGCGCTAGTGAACATCATGAGCTTCAGCAAGGACAAGTGCATGGTCCTGCACCTGGGTTGGGGCAACCCTTGCTATCAACAGAGGCTGGGGGATGAAAGGATGAAGAGCAGCCCTGCTGAGAAGGACTTGGGGGTACTGGTGGATGAAAAGTTGGATATGAAAAGCTGAGCAACCTGATCTGGTTGAAGATGTCTCTGCTCATTGCCAGGGGGTGGACCAGATGACCTTTCAAGGTCCCTTCCAACCCCAGCTGTTCTATGATTCTGTGAAAGGTGCTCAGCATCTTCAGCATTTATTCTTTGCTGATAGTTTATATGTTTTCTTTCTGATGCTTCTTCTCGTCTCCTTGTAGAATATCAACAGATGCTCTGTCATTTGGGTGATCAGCTCAATCGAACGTATTCAGGGAAGCAGTACCCATGAGATGCTGCTGAAAGAAGGCACGAAAGCTTTCCAGTGTGGGATGTGCAGGGACATGTCTCTGGTGGTCACAAAGTCTGATCAGATGAATCTAAACGAATATCAGCGGTAATGAAACAAACTCAAGTCCAGGGGTCCAGGGGAGTGGGGCACTGGGTGGTGGATTCTGGCTCTGGCCCTGCCCTGACCTTGTCAGCACGGTCATTCTTCTGTTCTCCTTACAGGAGCAGAGGACTGTTGCCTGCTGAAATCATTCAAATGTGTAATTTCTGTTCTGTTTTTATCTTTCCAGGGAAAGAAATACATACAATGTGAGTATTTTTCAGATTTCAGTCTCTTCATCCCTTTCAGATCATTTAAGAAAACTAGAGAATTTTACATATGATATAATGTGACTCGAGCAGAATTGGTTGACTCAATGCAGAAACCAGAAAGTCTGTGCAGTTCTTTGGCTTAGATCAGGGAGAAGCTGCATCGGATATTTTTTCTGGTCTTAAAAACTTAGGGAATCTACTTAACTTTGTCAGGAAACGTCAGTAACAATTCCCATCATTTTCTCCAATGTAGATAAATGAACATGATGCCATCCTAGAAAGGAATGAAACCGTGAAGCAGGATAAGAAAGAAATGATGAAGAATAACCTAAAGGTAAAGTAGCTTGGAGAACCCGGGCAGGGTTTGCCTGTGTCATGAATCTGTGTCCAATGGCATGTCTGTATTACAATATCTTTATAATAATATATGAATATCAATTCTCCATGAAGCCTGGTCATTATCTAGCAGCTTCCAATTACTCTGAACTCTCCCATCCCTCTGTGCTTGGGTCCAGTTTGTCTTCCTAGTCACCTCCAGTTTAATTCTTCACCTTTTATGCAACAAATTTGGTGGGGGGGGGATTACCCCTGATTCAGAATTTGCTTAATGAAAAATAAGAACCCAAATCAGATCACTCTGCTGTAGAATCACATTCAAAAAGAAGAGGCTTTCATGTGCAGTAGACTCTTGCCCCAGCTCTAGCTTTGAGGTATTGCACGTGGTCGCTGCGTGGAGCAACCTCGTGGCAGAAGCAGGCAGAGAAAAGCTGAGCTTTAGTCAGAAAGGAAAGAAATTCTGGGGGAGGTGGGTGAAGTGAAGAGATTCGTTATGCTGTCTTTTGTGTGGATGTGGGGACCAGACATAAGCGAACTGGGTCGATATCTGTGTTTTCCAGAAAAAGCTTCCAAGCAACTCTGAAGTTCTGCACAAGGCTGACCTCGTGTACACGGTCAGTGCCTGGGAGTACTGGAATGGGAAGGTGCTCAACAAGGAAGAAACAGGTGACATGGGGGTTTTCCTCTCTGTACAAGTCACGCAGGGACGCTTTGCGCGTGTGCTGAGCGAAGCTGACCCTGCAGGAGCCACGGGAACAGCGCCTGGGTTTGGAGAGGTCCCCGGGAACTTCCTTTCCTCTTCCTCCTCCTTTTCCCCCTCCTTCAAGTTAGTGATGAAAAATAGCGCCGAGGCGAGAGATGGTCCCGTGAGCACAGCCTGGCCCCGCACCCCCACAACGGTTCTCCCCAAGAGGCAGCGTCTCGAGATTTTTTGGTTTCCCCAGTTTCTGCGTCGTTCGGTACGCCCCATGTCGAATCCATAGCATTCCTGGGTTTGTGTTTGAGCATTTTACCGCTGCTACTGGGTACTTCGACTGGAATTGCATTAAAACCACGTGAAGTGTCTTTGACGTTGCTTTTGCTCAAAGCCTTCTGGTTTGGCATGGAGTTTTGCCCTGTTTTCTCCTCTTTGGAAAGCCTGTTCCTCTCTTTCACTCTGCTCAAGGTCAGAGTGCTGGATCCAGGATCTCCCATCAGCCTTCTCAGGCCACCCTTTGTGAAACGCTTCTGTCCCAGATGTTCTGTTACCTTTTGATCCCAATATCTTTCTCCCAGTCTTCAGAACTAGGACTCATTGCTATAACCAAGACGAGACCTTCAG